AACTCTCAGATCATAATTTGGCTGCTCAAATCAGGTAGAGGGAAGAGAATCTTCAACATTTCTTTTTGCTGCTACATCCAGATCATCATGTTTGATATTTTTCATGTTAGAAAACGCGAATCAGTTTGTAAAAGGATTGTTGGAAAAAGGCTATGAGAATCGGGAAGGTCTCAAATTAAGAAGAGATATATGAAAGTAAGTTCGGAAGACGAGTAAGGATTAAAAAAACGTTTAGTATTTTGTTGTATATCAATTCGCAATATTTGGTATTTGAAGAAATGTTTAGGGTTTCGGTAAATATATTATAGTGACTAAAGCTAATTAATATGATTTTTTGTTATTATCTTATAAAGCTGAGGTGCTTAGGTGTCAATCATTTGTGAGAAGTAACTCAACTATTATGCATAGAATATACAAATTGGAATAAACTATAATCTTTACAACTATTTTTAATCGTTCATTCTATTTATATTTTTTCCATCATCAAATCATATTTAAAAAGTCCTTAAAATCTAAAATACATACTAAGCTCTTCACCTGAAACAATCATTCTATAGCCAAGAAGCTATCATTCTTGAAGCAATCATTCTATAGCCAAGAAGCTCAAACAAGAAGAGTAGTTTTCAAGTCAATCAATTTAGTGTCTTTTTCTGCTTTAGAAAATAGAGAATATCTCTAGACAAGCAAAACATTGGTGCTATACATTTTGAGTCTATCCAGATTGTGTTTCTTGTTCACACTTTCCACTCTATCTCTCCTTTATCCAAGTCCGGCCCGTCATGTTTTGTTGCCTAACGCAGAAAAAAAATTAATGCCCCCATAAAGGATCGAACTCAACATCCCAAACATTGATGAACACATGCCAACCACTGAACCAAAGCTACTTTTATGTATCTGACTAGTAATTTGCTACCTAACGCCTGGGCTTCATTGACTTCAACAAGATTGGCCAGCCTTCTCAACCGAGCTCAGCGAACTAAATGATGCATGTGTTATTCTCAAGACATCAAAGTGGTTTACAAACCAATGACTAGTAATGTTGATCATATTTCCTCGCTAGGAATGCACGTGCACTAGAAATCGTGACTCTCTCATGTGAGCACATCGGTTCCATACTGATTAGATGTCGATAAAAGACATTTTTGTATACCCTTGATTTGTGATGTGATCATATAGCTAGGGGTGCAATTATTATCAGGATCTATGATATGATATGAGATAGAGGGTATTATTCTTTTGTGTATTATAATTGATTTGTATAACTGTATATGACTTATAAATTTTTGTCAAATTCACTGATTTTAAAATCTAACATGTCTATTTAATTTAATCATGTATATAAAAGTTGGGTGTTTCTCGCAAGGAGTTTGACACCTAAGCATCTTTTATCTCGCCTTATCAATTTTTTTTTTCTTTTCTCTCTGAACTGCTTTGTGGGTCCGATTGGTAATACATGACTGTACAAATTTTTTGGTGGTACAAAGTAACTGTACAAGATGATAGTACAATCAGAATTCCTATATATAAAAGTTGAGTGTTTCTCACAAGGAGTTGACACCTAAGCACCTTTTATCTCGTCATATCAGTTTTTTTTTTCTTTCTGAACTAATTTGTGGATCCGATTGGTAACACATAACAGTACAAAATTTTTGGTGGTACAAAATAATAGTACAAGATGATAGTACAATTAGAACCAATACAAATAATGATAAAAGATGACTATGTAGTTAAAAACATATTTTTCTATAATGTTACTTTACTGATTAGTTATACAAGAGATGATACAAATTATAACGCAGTTGTGGTGAACTTTTTTTAAGTTACCAAAGCCGTAATGTCAATGATCATTTCTTTTGTAAGTTTACTTTCGAATTGATCCTTTGTATCTTTAACTTGGTAATCACTCAAAATTAACTTAAATTAACCCCCAAAATCAAATTTACATAAATCCCCAACATTGAATAACGCTTGATTACGACAAAAAAAAGAAGAATAACTCTTGATTTTAACAAAGATTTAAAATTCATAAAAAATAACATAGGTTTTTAATATATATTTTATAGTCGATGATCCAAGAAGAG